ATGGTGAGCTAGGGTATGAAGAAACAGGAGATCTTTTCCTTTTTTTTTTTTTTTTTAAGATTTTATTTATTTATTTGACAGAGAGAGAGAGATCACAAGTAGGCAGAGAGGCAGGCAGAGAGGCAGGCAGAGAGAGAGGGGGAAGCAGGCTCCCTGCTGAGCACAGAGCCTGATGCAGGGCTTGATTCCAAGACCCTGAGATCATGACCTGAGCCGAAGGCAGAGGTTTAACCCACTGAGTCACCCAGGCGCCCCAAAACAGGAGGTCTTATATAAAGTTCAGTCTTTCAGTGGTTTATTACTGAACATCTCCTTTGTACCGGGTATTACTCAATGTACTTTGACTACATTCAAGAAGAAAATAAATAAAAATCCTGGTCCTTGGAGGACTTTCATTCTAGTTCATGAGAATTTAAATTTCTACCAACCTTTCAAGAGGAATATCTGAAAATCCATAATACATATGTGTCTGACCCTATCATTATGCTTTCAGAGGACATGGAAGTACAAGGAGTGCAAAGATACATTTATGTAATCACTTAGCTTTTCTGTAGCATAAGGCACTGTTGTGAATGCTGTAATTGGGATTGTCTTTTTATAACTGTAAGAGTTCTTAAGGGGCACCTGGGTGGCTCAGTTGGTTAAGCTTGTGCCTTCAGCTCAGATCACTATCCCAGTGTCCTGGGATCAAGTCTGGCATCAGGCTCCCTATTCAGTAAGGAGCCTCATCTCCCTCTACTTCTGCCACTCCCCCTCAATCTCACTTGTGCTCTCTCACTCTCGCTGTCTCTCAAATAAATAAATAAAATCTTTTTTTTTTTAAAGAATACTTTATATTTTCTAAATACAAGTCCCTTATCAAATACATATTTTGGAATGTTCTCTTCTGTTTCATGTGTTGTCTTTTCACTTTCTTGATAGTGTCTTTTGAGGCACAAAACTGTTTAATTTTGATGCAGTGCAGTTTATCTAATTTTTCTTCTGTTGCTTGTGCTTTTGGCGCCATATCTAAGAATCTTCCTTTGCCAAATTCCAAGGTCAGGAAGATTGACTCCTGTGTTTTCTTCTAAGAGTTAATATTTTAGCTTTTACATTTAGGTCTTTGATCCGTTTTAAGTTAATTTTTGATATCATGTGAGGTAAGTGTTTTGTAATATTTTTAATGTGGCTCCTAAAAATTTTTAAATTACATGTGTGGCTTGCATTATGTTTTTATTGGAAAAAACTGGCCTAGACCAATGGTCTCCAGACTTTTTAATATGACTCCCTATTGGGAAAAGAACATGAGCATTCACCTACCAATACATGTACATGTATTTATTTATCAATTACATACATGTACTATCATATGAATAACATATTATGTACATTAAAATAGAAAACCTACATAGAAAATTAACATTTTAAAGACACTTGCAACTCCTGGGTGGCTCAGTCGACTAGTTAAGTGTTTGCATTTGGCTCAGGTCATAATCCCAGAGTCCTGGGATCAAGCCCTGTGTTGGGCTCCCTGCTTGGTGGAGAGCCTGCTTCTGCCACTTCTCCCTTGCTTGTGCTCTCTTTCTATTTCTACCCCCCGTCTCTGTCAAATGAGTAAAATCTTAAAACAATAATAAAATTTTAAAGACATTTAATATGAAAATAAATGTCAGTAAAATTTCCCACACTTCAATGGATTATTTTGCCCATAATTGCTTTTTGAGACCACCAGTGTAGACTGTGATCTTAAATTTATAATTGATTCAAGTCTTCTTCCTTCTCCACAGTGTTGACAGAGAACTCTCCCAAGTGCAAATCTGATCGTGTCATGCCTAACCAATTTACAGTTAAAATCCAAACTCAGCTTAACCTTTAAGGCTTTTCATCATATATCCCTGCGTTTGTCTCTAGCTTCAGCTCTTACCACGCACCATGTGCTTATCAGACCATATCACACCCCGCACATCATGCTGTTCCCTCTACCCAGAATGCTCTTTCTCTGCTTCCTCATCAGGTTCATCAGTTTCAGTTTTCATCCTTCGGTGTGCTCCTTAGCATTCAGCACACTGCGCGGTAATTTACTTGCTTGTCTTCTTCCGCAGACTCTGAGATCCTCCAGGTAGAAACTGTGTGTTCCCAGTGCCTATATAGATTACGGGCTTTTTATAAATTCTGTTAAAAGGAAATGTTCTTGGATGCCTTGTTGAATGAATTAATAAATAATGTTTCTTCTAATTCATCCTGCTTTTCTAGTAGTCACTGATATTTATGATGAAGAAAAAAATGCTAATATTAAAATCATTTTCGTTTAATTGCAATATGATAATGATGAAAAATTATATGTCCTGTTTTTCCTGTGTGTTCTAGATTTCACAACATTTTTTATTTTTCTTTCTTTTTCCCCTTTTTTTCTATAACATCTATAATCCATGGACTGAATGGGTCATTTAGGGCAACCTGAGAATCTTAATACTATTTCTGAAATGTCTATGAAGAGATGTGTTCTGCTGTCTTTACAGTGACTTTAGGAATAAAAGTACATCAACTGAAGACCGATTGTACGGCAGTGTCTTCTACATTATAAGCATTATGTATCATAAATGAGATCAACATTCATAGTAAAAGTCAGTCATTTTTGTCAGCATCAGTTCCTAGACAGTTCTTCTCAGTAAAATGCTCCGAAATACTAGTAATTAGAACACCATAAAACACATTATGAGCATGTCAAGGCATCATAAGATAACTTATTTAGAATTGATCTTCCTTTCTTAGAATCCTTAACTAAAATCAGGGCAATTCTTAGAAGGAGGTAGCCCTGGTATTAGGGCATAAGCACCAACATACCAAGAATTTCTTGAATTCACTAGTTTATGTCATGTGATATTTGGCATTGATAAGTGGTCCACACCATATCTGCCTAAGAGCATTATGCAATTGCCAAACAAAACAAAAGCACCCAAATCAGATGAACTACTTACTTTCATTAAACATGCTGTCTTCAAGCCATTATCTTCCTCAAAATGTTGGTAATGGGTGACCTCTGCATCTGATTATTTTCTTGCATCCCCTTTTCTTCCATTTCGTATCAATCGCAACTGTTTTCTCTGTAATAGCATTTGACTGTGTTCATTGTTCCATACTGAGCATTACACAGATATGGTCTGTACCTTCAACATACATTTACTGAGAAATTACTGTGTACACAGAAGACCCTCGTGCTGAGTTCTGTGAGAGAAAGATGAAAAGACTTACTCCTAACATATATGAAGGATGAGAAAGAAAATGAAAATAAGAGTGAAGATAACTCCAAGGATTTTATATTAACTTCATAAAAAAGAGTTAATAAAATACTGGTGTTTACAAACACATAATAAATCCAGCAGATTAAAACTGTAAACATAACATAAAATTAGTATTAAAACTTACTTGTAGTGATCTTATCTTAGGGTCACATTTGAGAGAACTTAGCATTAATCTTAGATTGGGAGACAGAAAATGGGGTAGCCATAAATGTAAATATCTTAAAAATCTATAGAAGAAAGTAGATCAGTGATTCCCTACAGCTGGGCAGAAAGATGAGGAACAATGCTAATGGGGAAAGATTTTTTGGAATGAAAATATTCTAAAATTAGAGTATTAGTTGCATAATTCTAAACATACTAAAAATCACTTAATTGGACACTTCAAATGGGTGGACTTTGTGCTATATAAATGACATAGCAATAAAATTCTGTATCATTAAAGCTGTTTTTTACAAAAAGTGATTGTCAAAAAATAAAGACTATCTTTTCCATCTCTAACTTCAGCTGATTATTAAGGCAAAATCTTATGCCAATAGAAACGTAGATATGAGCATATCTAAACCAGCTGAGCAATTCACTACATAAACTTTTACCAGAACTCCTCTTTTTCATTTGGGATAACAAGTTCTTAGAAATGGATGTGTAGGATGGTATTTAGCATTACTTCCTGAGTTTTATCTGCATTCCTTTATCCACTGTTAGGAAATATTAAAAATATAATTGAGTTGTTCCTGTTCCATAAACAAATAAAGTAATTTTACATAAAGTGAAAATATTTTAAAAAAATAATAAAGTGAAAACATTTTACTCCATGTCATTATATAACATCTTGTCTCCCCAGATTCCACAGATTTTCCAATTCAGTAATAGATTAACTCCTTAGAACATGAAGATATGATAAATAGGAAAGTTTTAGTTTTTTGGAATCACAAAGAAGGTCTTTGGAACATCATGTCTTCCCAACATTATTAGCAGTGCTTTAAAGAATTATACCATGTTTCTTTCCCTAGTAGATAGGAGGAATGATTTTTATAGCTGAGTCTTTTTTTTTTTTTTATTGTGTCTTTAAAGTGGAATTGGGGCATTTCATATTTAATGTGACGTTAAATACTGGAGGTTACACTCAATACAAGTTGTGATCATCATTAGATGGTCAAAGTGTGATCTTTTAGTACAGAATCTGAGTTTACTATAGACTTTCCCACTCTTCATGCATCTTTTCCATCGCGACTTTCAACAGAAAATGTATTCAGTTGTTTTTTGCCTTATAAAATGCATTTTGTTGTCTGAGGCAAACATTGAAGCTTTTCTAAGTGCAGGCTTATTACTGTTTCAACTAATTGCCTGATTTGTTTGTAAATGGGAAATTTCTATAAAAATGGAGAAAAACTGTAAATTGCTATCTTGTGGTCTTTTCAAGCAAGTAATAATGTAACTCTCTACTTTTATAGCAAGGGCTAGAAACCATTACTGCAGTAATCAATATATCACAGTTATATTATTGAGGAGATTTTAATGTTACTTTCAAAATTCTGAGCTGTTGGGATATTGGTCTTCCACTGTTGACACCTGAAAATATTTGACTCCGTATTTTTTCTGTAAATATTGCAGTATTACTAGGAAACGGTAAGTCAGTTTTAAGGCATACAAACACATTATTAATATTTTAGAAAGCATTCCTCTTTTTTAAGCATTCATTTTCTTATTTCACTCACCTAGTGTCCACTTGGCAAGAAGAGTGCTTCAGTTAGAAAAACAAAACTCGTTGGTTTTAAAAGACCTGGAACATCAAAAGGAGCAAGTAACACAGCTTTCACAAGAGGTAAATAACTTAAACAAAAGAAACTCAAATAAAGAATCACAGTGTTCATTTTAGTTCTTTGTCACTCCTTTGTATATTTTCTGAGCAGTTCTAAAATAAGCTGTTTGCTAGTACAAAATGATTTTACAACTTACAAAACTAACTTAATGTTAAAGCCTTATAAAACAGCTCTTAGTGTATGGCAAAACTAAGATCAAAAAAAGAGATTAAATGCCCAGACTAAATATAAATGCAGACTAGACAGGCAAAGCTTTGATTTCTGAGAATATCAACTGGCAAAACAAGTTTGGCAATTTCAGATGGCATTTTGAGTTTTTAAATAAAACCTCATTTTTAAATTTTTTTTAATTCCAGCATTGTTGACATACAGTATTATGTTAGTTTCAGGTGTACAATATAGTAATTCAACAATTTCATATGTTACTCAGCATTCATCATGGTAGGTGTACTCTTAATGCCCATCACCTACCTATTTCACCCATCCTCCCACCCACCTCCCCTCTGGTAACCATGAGTTTAAAACCTCAGGGTTTTTGTTTTGTTTTGTTTTGTTTTAAAGATTTTACTTATTTATTTGACAGAGATCACAAGTAGGCAGAGAAGCAGGCAGAGAGTGAGGAGGAAGGCTCCCCGCTGAGCAGAGAGCCCAATGCGGGGCTCGATCTCAGGACTCTGGGATCATGACCTGAGCCGAAGGCAGAGGCTTTAACCCATGGAGCCACCCAGGTGCCCCTTAACCTGTTTTAAATAGGTTTGCTTTTTGACTTTTTTGTTGAAAAATTACTTTTCTATTAAACATACTTAACTTGCTGTTCTCAAGCTCTCACATTATATGCTACATGATAGTTCCCAAATTATCTTTTAAAATTCAGATTCATATTTCTTACTTCCCTCAGCCTTATATTACATCATTTAAAAAACAAATACATTTTTACAGGTGGTTTTAATCCTTTTATTTAACCTAATTACATTTTTTTGTACTTCTGAAATTCAAGTAACAAAACAATTCAAACCAAAGATGCCAACTCATTAGGATTCCTTTTATTTCCTGAGTTTCAGAATAACAGCTTTTTTATGTTAATATTTTAAAACTTGGATCTTATAAATAAAGGGATTTTTAAAGACGTATATTAAAAACTATTAATATATATCATGTATTCTTTGTGTTCTGAAGAACCTGTTCATATTTATCATATTAAAGTACTTTTAATAGTGTGACATTAGGAGGATTTTTATGCTTAAATTCCCAAAGACCCAGAATACTACCTATCACTCCAGTGCCTGACACGTAGTTACACTCAGGATGGAAGCAGTGTGGCGCTGGCGGATGTTAACCACCAGCTCTCCAGGCCGGAGCGTGAGAGACAGCCCTGATTGGCTGCATTTGCTTGTGTCAGTGGGATAAATATGGCCCCTGTGACTGACTCTGAGCTGCCAACATCATGGTACTGAACACAGAGTAAAGATGCTCAGTAACACACCATTACATAAAGTTTCCACTGCACAGGTATGACAGACATGGATAAACTCAAGAGCATAGCTAATAGTAAAATAACTAAAAATCAGTGAGTTTGAATATTTGTTCCCCTTTTTAAATAAAATTGATTTTATTGTGCATTTAAATAATTTTTCATAAGGGTTGTGTTTAACATCCGGCTCACAAAATTCCTAAAAATTGGCCAGTTAGCCATCACTAACTGTGGTAAGCCAGCTCCAGCACACTATGGAAGGATAAATAGTTAGAGAAACAAATGAGAGGTTAAAGAAATATCTGTTTGCTAATATTTTATAGATCCCTCATGTTTCTTTTAACTTCAGAATGACATATCAAAAATATTTCTAAAAAAAGCTTAACTATATATAGACTTGTGTTGGATGTGTGTGTCTGTGTATCATAATATTATTAAAAAAAATAAAACCACCTTCCTGTGCACATCAGCTAATTGAAATAGGAATTTCTTTTCCTTTGAAACAGGAGTTTCTAAATGGCACACAGCCCCATAAAAATTGTGCAGGTGAAATGTAAGAAATTAAATTAAGTGTTCTTGTAATGAAGTATAATTAACTTTTTGACTTTTTATGAAACAATTTTAAAATAAGCTGTTGGCTTATATTGAAAAAAAAAAGATTTAAAAACTGAAATATGGAGGTGCCTAGGTGGCTCAGATGGTTAAGGTCTGCCTTCAGCTCAGGTCATGATCCTAGAGTTCCGGGATGAGCCCCACATTGGACTCGGTGCTCAGCAGAGAGCCTGCTTCCTCCCTCTGCCCCTCTCCCTGCTCACGCTCTCTCTCTCTCTCTCTCTCACTCTCTGTCTCTCAAATAGATAAAATCTTTTTTAAAAAATAAATAAATACTGAAATATGTGTGATATGAAATGATGCAATGCCTAGAATTTGCTTTTAAATATTCCATAAAAAGTGGGGGGATAGGGCTCATAGATAAAAGAAGAATTTCAAAGTATTGATCATGTTTGAAGCTGGGTAAAGGTTACATATAGGTTTGTTATTCGGTTCTGTATTTCTGTGTATGTTTGAAAAGCTTTCATAAGACATTGGGAGAAAAAAATCAGTAACCTTATATTAAAATTTTTATTGCTATAATAGTATATAACTTTTCCCTTAAGATTGAAAATAAAGTATTATCATTTGAAATATTCCATGGATTTAAAAATCTGTTTTCTGCCCATGAAAGTTATGTTGCTTAAATTGAAAATAATTATATAAACTAATTAGCTGAAAGATGATAGTATTAGAATGCTTCTCTAACAACTGACTATTCCTGATACATGGTAAAAAAAAAAAAAAGAGAGAGAGAGAGAGAGAGAGAAGGAAATTTCCTTAAGATCTATAGTCTTTAAATAGTTTATTTAACCTAGCTTGGAGTTCTGAGGGGCAGCTCAATCAATTAAGGGTCGTCCAACTCTTGATTTCAGCTCAGGTCATGATCTCAGGATGGTGAAATCAAGCCCCGTATGCTCAGTGCAGAGTCTGCTTGAGATCCTCTCTCCTCCTCCCCCTGCACCTCTCCCCAATCATGTTCTCCAAATTAATTAATTAGTTAAAATCTTTTTTTTTTTTAAGATTTTGTTTATTTATTTGACAGACAGAGATCACAAGTAGGCAGAGAGGCAGGCAGAGAGAGAGAGGAGGAAGCAGGCTCCCTGCTGAGCAGAGAGCCCGATGCGGGACTCGATCCCAGGACCCTGAGATCATGACCTGAGCCGAAGGCAGCGGCTTAACCCACTGAGCCACCCAGGAGCCCCTAATTAGTTAAAATCTTTAGAAAATTAACAATAAACTAGCTTGGAGTTTTAAGAATATAATACACAGATGAAACAAATAACTAAAGCTATAACCATTGAGTTATATATGTTATTGAGAATATATCTAAAACTAAACATAAATGAAGTGCCAAAATGAGAATGATAAAAAATATTCAAAATATTCCTTATACTAGCTTTATTGAAATATAATTGACATACAGTAATCTGCACATACTTAAAGTGTCTAATATGATAATTTTTGACACATATGTATACCTATGAAACCATTACCAAATATATATACACATACATACATATACATATATATATATATATGTACTCTCTTTTTCATCTGACTTCTTTCACTCTGCATAATTATTTCAAGATTCATCCATAGTTCTTTCCTTCCCATTGCTGAAGAACATTCCATTTATGGAAATACCACTGTTGTTCATTCATTCACCTATTGATGGACATTTGGGTAGCTTTCCGTTTTTGCCTATTATAAGTAAAGGTGATCTGAATATCCATGTACAGTCCTTTTATGAACAGGTCCTTTTTGTTTCTTTGGGGTAAATACCTGGGAGTGGACCAGGTGGATCATATCCATATGGTTAGGTGTCTACTTAACATTTTGGAGACTGCCAAACTGTTTTCTGAACGTTTGTGCCATTTTACATTTCTGTTAACAGCGTATGAAAGTTCTAGTTCCTCTACCACCTTGCAAAAGACTTGATATAGGGGCACCTGGGTGGCTCAGTGCGTTGAGCCTCTGCCTTTGGCTCAGGTCATGATCTCAGGGTCCTGGAATCGAGCCCCACATCAGGCTGTCTACTCAGTGGGGAGCCTGCTCCCCCTCCTCTCTCTACTTCCGATCTCTCTCTCTCTGTAAAATAAATAAATAAAATTAAAAAAAAAAAAAAAAGACTTGACATAGTGTTTTTAATCTTAACCAGTCTACTGGGTGTGTATAGTGGTCTCTCATTATGGTTTTAATTTGCATTTCCCTAATGACTAGTGATATTTAGCATCTTTTCATGTGCTCCTTTGCCCTCCGCTCTTCTTATTGCTGGGACGTCTTCAAATTTTTTCCCATTTCATCACATTGTTTTCCTGTTACTGAGTTTTGAGTATTATTTATATATTCTAGATACAAGTCCCTTACAAGATATATGATTTGCAAATAAATATTTTCTCCCACTCTTTGGCTTGTTTTCCCATCTCTTAGCAGTGTTTGAAGAGCAGTTTTTATCAAATCCAGTGTATCAGTTTGTTCTTTTATGGGTTTCATTGTTAGTATTGTATCTAAAATATCTTTGCCTGACCCAAAGTCACAGGGTTTTTGTCTTGATGTTTCATGGTTTCAAGCCTATAATCTGTTTTTAGTTAATTTGTATATTGTGCGCAAGGTATAGATCGAAATTCATTTATTTGCATATTAAAATCAAATAATTTGTGTATCATTTATTGAAAAGACCCTGTTAAAAATCAGTCATAAATGTGTGAATCTGTTTCTGGATTCTGTTTCCAGTTATCTAATTTGTTTATCTTTATGCCAATACTATACTCTCTTGATTACTGAAACTTTACAATGTCTTGAAATTAGATACTAGTAGTCCTCCAACCCTATTTATTTTCAAATTTGGCTATTTTGTGTCCTTTGCATTTCTGTATGAATTCTGTAGTCATTTCTACAAAAAATTTTAAAAAGCTGCTGTGATTTTGATTTGGATTA